GGCTATTCCTATTACTACTTGGCGCTTCCAGGACAACCGGGTTTATAAGCAGGACACTTTTGTAATACTTCTGCCTGCCATAAAAATAAGACCTTTTTAACCGGACACATTATTAGTCCGTCATGCTTCTAGGTATTTGGCGTTATTCTAGATCTTTGGAAACACATGGACATTCTTCTTTTTTGCTGTTGTTCTCAAAGCGGAATAAACCACCAAGAGCATGCCCCGCCCATGCTTGCTTCATGCGTGAGTTATTTCATTAACGAACCTGATAAAACTGGGGCTTGCCTATCGTAGTTCTGCAACTTAGGACTTGTGTTCCACTTCCAAAATGACTACCCGAACTCACTGTTACACTGCGCGCAAATCCGAGGAAATCTGTTACAACTTCACTCCAACATCGCCTCAACTTGCGAGGAAAAGGGCGCAAAGTACAAATTTGACACTCCTCTGTGGATTCACACGCGTGAAAGTAGCACAACAAAACTGTATATCCAAAAGTGACCCTCGCGTCCCTCTTTTGTGGTGCCACACTAAACAGAACCAGTGGTTGCACAGGCAGCTGGCCGCTCATCGTTGCTTGGCCATGATGAGGCGAATGACCTGTTAAGTGCACACGTTGTTGTGTAGACGCCTCCCAGCCGACTGTGGCAAAAATTTCATACAACCTGACACGAATAGCAGCCATAAGCGACCAACTCACCCTGTTCGTTTTATGCCTTGCATCTACGTACCCATGCGTGAGATATTTAAAACATAACTTATCGTCTCATGTTGGACAAAGAAAAAGTACACACGCAGGTAGGAATAGTCAACTTTGTTTTCTCTTTATAGTAAGGGTACAAATTACTGAACCTCTTTTCTTTCGCCCATGACTCAACAATCAAGTTCGAAAAGTAAAAAGGCGGAAAATGCTTGCAAACGTGGCTTAGTTTGTGCTATTGCCCGGACCTCTCGCCGACGAAAGAACAGCTATTAACCTTTTCATTTGGCGTGGCAGTGCGACTTATTGTGACGGTCTGGTACAACTTTTAATTTACTCATTCGTAAGCGCTGTGCTATGTGGTGGATCATCGTAAGAGAACGGTGAGATTGGGTGATCATTTCCATCACACTGGATGTAACGACAAGCTGGTTGTTGCGCAACGATTATAAAATCTAGCAATGAACAACACGCAACATGGACCACTGAGGTATCGGTTCAATGCTGACGCCTTTCACCGCTCGTAAAACTTGGTCGGGATACCCACGTAACACACCGATAAGTAATTCAGTCAGAGCAAAGAGCGTGGCTGTGACCGACGTATCCTGAAATACGAACGAATAACACATGCTCGCTGATAGTGCCCCCACTTGAAGTGCAGCGGCACATTGCTACCACCGAATGGAATGGGTCATCCACCAAACATGATGCTGGGTGAATCAAAATGAAGCAGACTTTAACCTTGTGGTGCAAAGTATTTCAAGACATGATATTCGTTGGTGTTTTGTAAATGAGGACATGCAATTTTTGTAAATCCATAAGGAATAGCTCATAATATGATTTAATATTTCGTTGGTGTAGCCATTTTTAGAATAACGGTTAACTCCTATTCAAATGGACGCCAAATCCCTAGTTATTATCTGTCCCTCATTGATGGCCTGATAGAATATCGCGCCTATTTCAGACATCTGTTTAAAGTTCCAGTCGGAAGATTCTGGTCACAACGTACCAAAAGCTTTTTTATTGTGCAAGTGTTTACGGACATTCCAGTCTGTGCGGATCAAGTTATTATTGAGCTTTTAGTAGGTACGCCTCATCAACTTGGATCTGATCAGGCCGTTGGGGCATAACAATAGGCAGTAAAACTCTGTGTGCGAAACTCTGATGCCACCATTTAGTCAACATCGAGTTCTGCGTTTTTGTTCACCAAGTGGAAGGCCGTTAGCTTGTTTGTTCAGCTGTTTCATGTACTTAGATGGAGTAATTTTGTTTTTCTGGGAAAGACGAAATATCGTGGACTGGTCTCGCAAGTTCAATTGACAGATCTCCAGCTTGCAGCGGTTCTGCTTCTTACGAAGTACCGGCTGATCTCCTGAGTATCAATAATAATTTTTTGTGGGATTATTAGACACTATATCCAGCAGACAACGGAAAATCATCATGTATGTTTTCTCTACTCAAAAAGGTCCCAGTTTGAGCTGCACCAGGGTAATAAGCGTGGCTAAGGTGTCCGAAAATGGTTTAAAGTTCTGCGTTCCTGATCATGCAGAAGAACGATCCTATAGAAATATGCAACAGAGCTATTGAGATGCTTCATTATCCTTATCCTTATCCATTATTTTACCAATGAAGTGCCTCTAAATGGAGGTAACCAGGTTAATTAGGGGTGGTAGCTGGCGTGCGCGGTATCGAGGCGACAAGGTGAGACCAGGTATACCGTTGCACGACTTGAGTCAGAGGGAATGCAAAGTAGGTTGGAGACTTCATGAGCTAACAGTGATCTAGAAGGCCTGGGGAGTTAAGAAATCTTCCTCAAGCCAAAGATGTGTGATGCGGTAACTGGAGAGTTGCTCATTTGCATCCAGGACAACCGGGTCTTCCTGTGAAATTGAGGGGCAACTCCAGAAATCCCGTGACCGTCACACCTAAGGCAATGCCCAAACCCTTGGTTTTGTCGAAAGCTCAAGAAAGCTTCCAAAAACTTCACTGGAATTCGCCCAAGATTTCGGTTCGTAGTATTGACCAGTTAGATGTGGAGTTGATTTCCCTGGTCCACCAAACCAACCGTTCGACCAATCACATGCCAGTTGATCTTATCGGCCGTCGCGGTTGCCGCAGCCCGACACCGCAGCATCCAGGCCGTGTGTTGTACGGGGTCTCGGATCTCGGATTCCGTGTGAAGGATTCAACCAGTTTAGTCGATAAGTTAAACAATGCCTAGGATTTCGGAAAATTCATATTTTATGGTCACATCATATCGTCACCTCGTCCTCACCCTCAAGGTGCCCATACGGTTCTGTGCGGCGTAAATTATTACTCAGTGGAATTTTCGGGACTTTTGGGGAATTTCATTGAAAGCTTGTCGGAGGATGGCCCGAGTTCGGATTTATCGAGGGATAGTGCCCCCTAATCCCCCTATACCGAAGGATCTCTAATGCGGATAACATGATTTCAAATGGGTGAAGTGTGATAATCGAGTTGCGCTAAGGGAAATCCAATGATTTCTCCATTATAGGCTGGTCAATGTTTCGACAACGATCGAGGTGTCTGTGCGTCTTTACGAAGTAGCATTCACCTGACTGCTGGTTTCCACCGTGAACTCTGACGCCGTAAGGTCAACGGGGTTCGACTCAATAATATTCCCCCTCCGATCACATCGAACGTGCACTAACACCGTGCCTTCCGCTCAAAAAGAACTCCTCACTTACATAGGGTGTACCCTACATTCATCAGATGTAATGCGGACTTGCCCCTGTTGATCCATCCGGCTACATGGACGGCTTCGCTGTCTCTACGGCCTGGACACGCCGGATTCAGAAACAAAGACGCTTCGTCCAAACGAAAGGATGATTAACTCAGAAATATTCAAATAACTGTTGGACAAAGCGTCCAGGCAAATATTCAGCGATAAAACCGCCGAGTTAAATGTTTCATCGTCGTCAGCACCTTCGAATCAGACAGAACATCCAGCCGAACGGTGACAAAAATTTCGTTTTTTACACAAATGTAATAGAAAGCATCGTCATCTAGGCAAACCGCCTTTGAAGAAAGTCAGATAATTCCATAGCCCACCCATTGTATCTGGTTCTAGGGTAGCTCTTCTTCCGGATGGTTTTATAATAAACAAACCGGTATATAGGCGCTCGATGCACCGTGCGGACTGGAAAACCTTCCCTGTGTGGCAATTTTTTCATCCAGGGGAGGCCACGAATTTTCTGGAGACCGATACTCATGTACAAAGTCTTCGGAAGGAATAGCCGGTTACGAGAGATTTATGAACATGAGAAGCCTTAAAAGTAGATTGGATGGTAGATAGGTACTTGAGTGTCACTGGTTCAGAAGCCGGACTGCGTGGTTATCTTCGGACCCAGATTAACCGCTCTGGAACCAGGATCATAGGAGTGGTGAATCTTTAATTGAGTTGGAAGCCTTTAGTCCATTAGCTTGACACGGTTTTGCTTACATTAATGATAAAGAAGCTATTTGGTGCCGTATCGGTGATTGGTCTACTACCTTATCCTGTGGCTTCACAGGCAATAATACCACGGCAAACGGGACAGGAGTGCTTAAACTGCTGAAGCAAATAGTGGAGTTCGTCAGGATTGTCCCCTCTCTTTTTGTGCAATTTTGCCATCAAGTCATCAAGTGCGTGCCATAAGGGATAGCGAATGTAAGTATCCAAATCACTTCTGAAGAGAGACTAACAGATCTGGACTATGCGGATGACAGACATGTTCGACGATTACTTTTCCGCGCAACGTACTGCAGGTGGTCCCATGTATTGGTATGCACTTTGCATCTTCACAGTTCAATCTCACTTCAAGACTCCCCATCCTCTTGTGCTTCTCTGAAAATTCACGATAAAGAGCTTGTGTTTTTATCAATTCATGTATCCTGGTAACTGCATCTTGAGTAATCATACCTGCTGTAAAACCCGTTTTGTGCATGGCTGCCGTGCCAATCTGAAAGAAGCAAGAGGGCTGTTAGGTTACCAATTTCCTGAAGATGCATAAGCTGTGATTGTACTGTAACAGATGAAGTTAGTATACTGATAACCAAGGCGCGTCCAGCGCTTGTGATCTTGCGTCAGACTAACTTCGCTTAGGCTAAGGGGCGATGTATAGAAGGTGGTTGTAAGAGCGGTCTTACTCTCTGGTTATGAAACCTAGTTCCTGTGATCCGAACGCCTGATACGTCTTCAGGCGTTTGGTCGCCGGCGTCTCCGTAGCATAGCAAGAATAAGCTGTCTGTGGTGAGTCCGCAAGAAAGTACTGCACAAGGGGGTTCTTGGTGATGAATCCGATTCTTCGGAGCAACAGATTAAACCTGCCGGTTGAAGTGTTTCTGGTGTGCTACGTATGACCAGATATCGCCGAACGAAGAAAGCGTTGCTTGCTGTTCCGAGAGATTGTTGGCGAACACGACGTTACATTTCAACGTGGAATGTGTTGTCACTTTATCCTTGATCGTCTTGCTTAAGGACATAAAGACAGTAAGTCCCTACGTTTCTCTTTTCCTTTTCTTCTTAACCAAGACCTTCTTTCCTCATGGCTGTTTGGCTGATAATCACCAGTGTGCTTCACTGATGTACCGCTGTCGGCTATGATGATAAAACATGTTACACTGCGAACTGGCGCAAGTGAACTGTGACCCCCAGCTTCTAGACATTGTCTGCGAGCACAAGGTATATCAGCATACCCACCAGTCTTTCAATCTTCCAACGTTGGTGTGATCATCTTTTGTAGTGATTGTCCCGCTCCATAAAGCACGGTAAAGTCTCGTTTGAACTGCTGGCGTACCATTCCGGTTCCTACTTTTATGAAGTCGGTGCTCCTGGATGACGACCTTTCACTTCCGAACGCTCTTCAATATATATCGAGGTAACTCAGTAGTTAAGGCGCGAACTCACTCGCTGGAAGGTCCCTGGGTCGAGCCCAAATTCAGTATATTGACTTGTCTTGTCTAGGTTTGGCAAGATGACGAGATGGCTTAGTGCTTGGAGCGTGAATTTATTGACCGTGGTTTGAAACCGACCTCTTCATCTCGACTTTCCTTGTCTGAGCTTCGGCAACCTGCTTCCTTCTGGTGGCAGTTTAGTTTTGGGCAACCTGGCAGTATCTTAGCCCTCATTGTTTCTTCGGATGAAGGTAGACACCGTTTGGTTGTTACGGCTGAGCGTACAAGCCTTCAATACGTAGCTGCCTATCGCAAAAAGATACAAAACTGCTTCTGCACTTGCATTCGCACCCTACATTACGACACGATGTATTTCGCCTGTTCATGTCCAGAGTCAATTTGATGGTTGAATTCTTACGCCAAACAGTTCATTCACCTCTATGTGCTGGCTACCTACTCACCGGATAGAAGGGCACCGGATTGCAAAACTCGTCTATGGAGGAATTACCCTCCTGTTAAGTGGAGAAATACTGACCTATTTGCTTAACGTCATTTGTATGTAAGGTTGCAGATGGGAACATCGAACGAGTCCCATAACACCACTTGAAGAGAAGTGCTATATTATGTCCTGCTTAGAACGGGTTTCCGAGGGCTCTTATGTCGCCAGGCTTCTGGTGGCAAGGTGAAAGTAGTCAGCTGCTTTAGATTGACGTGATATCTGTGGACTGCAACCAAGTGACAAAGTTCCTCGAATTGACTTGCTGAAACCTGGAGTCCCCGGTGTTGCAGAAGTGATTTTACAAGTGTTTGGTCATTACCACAGACAGCAACACTAACGGTTCACTGTCTTCACGATCGAAAACCATCAATACATGTATAGACAAATAAATCTTGTTCGATGCCGCTAGCGGTGCCTAGGTATATATCACGCGATTCGGTTCTCGAGCTTCTTACCAATCAACTCCATATGGCTTATTTATGGACGATCTAAAGCTCCTGATGGAAGCATTAAAACAGGCTGGATTACTTTTCGGACAATCTCAACCTGTGGTCTTTGAAGTGGCTGTTTTCTGCAAACCATGAGGAGTGTGTAAATTTGTCGGCCGCGACTTACCGTATCGGAGGAGCATTTCGGAAGCATTTAAGAGAGAAATGCCATGACCTCGATGCAGCCAAAAACACTTCAGAAGGACCTTCATCCACCAAACTGTATGATTCGGCAAGGTAGTCTTCCATCATAATGCCCCATTTCCGAGATTTTCACGCTCTTCTTCAGAGTTTAGGTGTATCCTGTTTTGGGATTTGGAGCTCTTGTCATCCTCTTTGTGCCCCTGCACGAAAAAACCATGCTTGAGAGAGTTCAGCGAGGAGAATATGAATGCATATACTTTGGGACGGGACCCGACAATAAGCCTTTTTTCTCTTGAGTTTCATCGTGGTCGTGGGGATTCCTTGCACACTCGCCATATCCTGAAAGGATTAGGTTAGGATCAGGAGCAGTTCTTAGTTCTCGGCAGCGATTCTTTAATTTGAGATCGCAGATGGAAGTTATTCAGATGTGGGAAGTTGTGCATCCTCTGTAATCGCATGCTAACTCACCATAAATGACTGAAATGGCCTCCCGAAACAGGTTATCGAAACCCAGTCCTTTAAATATTCCAGGTGGCTCACCGTCGCACGGAAGTTGTTACCCACTACTTTATTACCAGATCCTTTGGGTGGCTTTTGGTCCCAATTATTGAAGTTCTCACCTGTTCGTGAGGAGAAGCTTACAGGGGTCTCTCCTTCTTTCTACTTCATAATAGGACGGTGAGAAAACGGTGATACGCTGTTCATTTGTTTGGATAATGCCGAAACCGGGAAGGCAATTGGCCCCCACTTCTTTATTCACTTGTAGGGTGGTGCCGAACGCAGGATGGTCCGAGAAGCTGGGCTTCGGGTGGTCTCAGCAAAACACCAAGCGTCCTGGTAGATAAGTGCTGTACCCCTCTTGAAATGTTCTTTGCCGATGACGTTTTCCCATCATTTGCTATGCAGTTGGATAATGCAGCAGACAGGCTCACTTTTTGTCTCCTCAGTTTGAATAAAACCGAACCTTCCCTCCAGGATAGTAGGCGCACTATTTACTGTTTATTTGTGTGTCGAAACCCTTTGGGGAAAGATCAGACCCTTAAATGGAATGTGTTGAGTTTTATAGATGAGTTTCATGACTTCGGAGTCAGTGCAGAACCTTTTTCTGGCGCTCGTTCTGTCACATACCCCATACCGATGCGGTATACGCGGATCCCAAGCCGCTGCACAGTCTCTTAATCGGACTTAAAATTCTATCTTTAGCCTTCAAATCCCGTCCTTCACTATTTTATTATTCTCGCCCCATGACATTCGGTTATTCTGTCGCCTCCACCATCAGTTTATGGTCCTTGACTCGGTCCTTCTAAGCATCCTCTATAGAATGGCGCCATCATTACCAAAGCGTATCAAGATTTCTTCCCGTCCGTTGACCTTCATTCCCAGGTTTGATCTCTGACAGTGATAGTCAGGTGGCCGATTAGGTCACAGTCCACTTCACGCTGTTCCATCATGGAAAACGATATGCCATTTGGAATCTGCTGACAGACTAGCACGAGCTTTTTGGGCTTCTACATGTTCTTCATCTGTTCCAGCTTTCAGGGGTGCGAAAAATATGCTCATGTTACATTCCCGATAATTACGATGAATACAGCTAGCGTAACTCAATTCTGAAGCTCTGTATTCGAAGTTCCACTTTGAGCGAGTTAAGTTCGACAGTACGATATTGATAATACCACCTGCTTGGCGCGCCATCTGGAAACGGTTCTATCCTCCTATAATTGTAGAGCGAACTGTGGGACAACTTTATAAGCTGCTCTTTGGATACGCATAGTAGCAGTGGAAGACCTGAACCGCTCCCCTCCCCCACAAACGCNTCAACTTTATAAGCTGCTGTTTGGATACGCATAGTAGCAGTAGAAGACCTGAACCACCCCCCCCTCCCCCACAAACGCGTGAGTTGGAACTGATATCAATGACCACCGAAACGTCTGATTGCTACCATGTTCGATCGTCAAAAACTGACAGTGTTTGGCAACCAAGGGTGTCCCTTCCAATATTTTCCTTATGAAGGCACTGCATACAAACTTTTGCGGACGGGCACGAGTACATGGCAAATTTTACTACGCTCACTACGCCCAGTGGTGTAGGACGGTTCTGCCTTATATCGCCTTTTTCTCTTCAACTTTGTTATTTATGTGCTGCTTGCCTCTCGACTTCCCCCATGTAGGCTTGGGTAACCTTTCAGTACCCCAGCTCTCGTGTTTCCTTCGGGTAGCATGACAGCTAGGCACCGAAAAGGTGTGCACCGACCGAAAAGGTGTTGCAGCTGAACGATTATCTTTTCTGGGGTATTGAGTTCGCAATTTAACCATTGAGCTGTCTTAAGCCCCTTCATAAAAATGAGAATCGACGCCACCCGAACAACACCTGTGAGTCCTACGATCACCTGTTGCAAGCTCACGAAATTGCTTGTCAGTGAATGTGTGCACTCTTTACTTCACAAAATTGGCTGCATTTCTCTTGGCACTGCTCTCATCACCCTCGTTGTCCAATCAACCTAGCACGTTTTGTTCATGTCCCAACTTCACCTGAGAACAAGCAAAAGTTGCATGGTGTCGTCGAGTTCTCGAAGTCCTTGACGTCGCACATAGCTGCCACTATAATGTGATGATCCGGCCTGGGTTGTGCAATAATCCAGTTAGCTATGCTGACCTGAACTTCGTTTTTCAAGGGTCAACTATACCAGAAAAACTTATGGGAGCACTAGACAAACTACAATAATTGTTGTTATTAAATTTACTTGTGTGACTAACTAGAAAACTGCGCATACACTTCAAGGTTATTCAGTCATTCAGGCGAGGACCAAAGGGCCAACAGACCTGAACGTGGTCTTTTGTGGAAATCTAGCGGAACTGTTCACGATCTTCAATCTTTCAGCTGGTGAATCACCTAAATCAGTATAGGAGCCAAACTAATGGTTGCTGTTAGTGCAATTGCTTTCAACTAGGTCCCACCGTTGGTCACCACTACCGTGTTTGCATGATCATAGACAGCATGACGTCAGTGGTCAACGCTTATGCTTCCGTGCAACTATTACCATTTTAAAGTCTTGTTGTTAAGGAAGGAATGAAAGTGGATCAGGAAGTGCTAACCTGTCACAATGGTTCCAGGTTGCCCNGATGCCCACACCTATAGACACTCATTCAGGCAATCGGGTAGAAAACTGACATCGAGAATGCCCGTGACATCGATTAGTAGTCACGTCTTGCAGCGTCTCCAACCATGCACTGTGGAGATCATGCGGAAGCAATGTGGCCCAGTGGTTAGAGCATGAAGGTCCGTGGTTCGAACCTGACCTCTGCATCTGGACATCCCCTGCCTAGGCTTGGGCAACCTGGCGGTGGCATGGAAGCTGGGCACTGAATGGGTGTCTCAGCTGAACCGGAACCTGTCCTGGAAGACGAGCCGCACCGACAGCACCCATATGTTTTGTAATCTCTCCCATGCGCCTCAGCTAGGTCAAAGTTTAACCACATCCCTGCTTGCGCCATCCTGAATTGGGCACGGGAAATAGCATTATCTTCGGTGTGTGCTATGCATGGCTCGGCCACCGCGTCTTCTGGTGCTGGACACATTCTTTAATTGAGGTGCCGTTGCACTGTCGTCTTCTAATTGCTCCGTCAGGAGTTTCTGTACATCAACCCACGCAAGCCATGGTTCTGAGGTAACTGTTGTTGTTCCGTTGCTCACGGAAGCTATGTCTCAGCCGTACACCGGAACAGCCATTACGATAACCCGATACACATTTCCTTGAGATTCCGGGTTATGGTGGTTTGTCTGCATAGGTGTCTCAAATTAGCAAACGCGAGCCGAGCCTTAGAGATTCGTGCATTGACCCCATATGCCAAACTACAATGGGACATTGTATAGATTCAAAAGTACGTAAAACCCTCCACAAACTTGAATGCCTATCCCTGGACTGGAAGAGGCGTGTTCAACAAGTACAGGTCCAAAAGCATGACCTTAACGATGGTATGACATCGGTATAGCTACATACCTGGTCCCTTTGAATGGAGAATCTCTGGCTGAAGGCTATTTTTGTTTTTGTGTGACTGATGGCTTCCAGCCCCCTACTCTTTCATCCTGGGACAAGCTTTGTCTGTATACTTTACCGCCACCCTTGGGTAAAATGCGTTAGACGCTGTTCCGTTTCCTCATCCCGCGGTAGTTCAGATGAATGACCTGAATGTATTTCCTGAACAAGGTTCCCCACATTTCTGTTCTCATCGTGAAACCGAGTTCTCTATCTCCTCCACGACTGCTTCCTTTGGAGATTATTCTATCTAACTTACATTACATTCCTTTATTGTTCATCAGCTACTCCGTATGCTTCACTTTTGTAATATTGGCTTAAACTCATTGGCCCTCCATTTCGTGCTTCATGCTTTGACGCGGTTGATTGCTGTTTTTTTTAGACAGATTTCAGACTGTCGACCTTTCCTTAGCTGGCAATACTACTCTACAGAGTTCCCCTTTTTGATTTTCAGGTTTTGCGCCAAATGCCAGGATCAGTTAAGGAAGTCGACCTGCTCCCTGAGTCTTAGCTTCTCCGTTTCCCACAATGCTGTGTCGTTGGCCTCCCTTTTCTAATTGTCTATGCTCCCTTACTCTCCTTACTGTGATCCTTTTGGTTAACGCAAATGTTCACAGTAAGTCGTATGATACACTTGTGTGCGTGTTTCTCTGTTATGCACTCACTCGACTAATTGCCCATTTACTGCATCATCTTTTGTACTGATTTCAACAACCCAGTCTTGGTTAGTTAGATGTTGTTAGAACTCAGCTGCTGTTGTCTGTCAATTCAATTACGGCTGATTGTAATGTACTGCTCCTCCGTATGGAGAAACACCGAGGAATATAAAATGAATTGCCCATAAAGGCGGCTAGCGGTTCACGGGTCCTTTACAGTCAGCTGAAAAAAAACTCGTTGCTGACTTCATATTACACTTGTTTTGCTAGGTGGGTTTGGAGTCTTTCAATGTGTCCTTACAGGCTCCAAATGGGAATTCAAGCCTAACTACTGGTGACCCGTTCAGGTCATTGTTGAAAATCAGTGTAACCTATTGTTGAGGCTTGGGGCATCATCTGCTGGACTAGGTCACGATATTTTGGGTGCTATTTCTTCCCAGTCCTTCATTGTCAGGGATATACCTATCTAATGGTTCACTGTTCTTCACAATTTGTCACCCCTCCATTCAACTACCGACTGCCGCTTGTCGTATACATAAGACAGTTTCGCCTAGACAGTCAGACAATCGGAAGTTTAAAATCCTGAGGCTTTATCGCCTTTATTGTTATCCTGTGCGAGATGGTTCAATTGGTTAGAGCGCGAATTTACTGACCGGAAGGTCCGTGGTTCAAACTTGACCTCTGCCTCTCGACTTCCCCTGTCTAGGCTTGAGCAACCTGGCAGTATCTCAGCCCTCGTGATTCCTTCGGGTGGCATGGCAGCTAGGCACCGGAAGGGTGTTACAGCTGAACGATTTATTCTGTGTACTATGGATGTCAATTATACGGTGCGTATGCATTACTAATCATCTGGTCTCTTGACTTTTCCGTAACACTTGAGTCTTCCGTGCGTTCTTTTGTTCCTCAGTCGTTCCTCATTTCACCAGTCTCCCGCCACCAGTTTCATATTATATTGACTCGCACTCGGGGGACTCTGGCAATCAGAATCCCTTGGATTTGATCTGTCGAGCCTGGCCTCCCAACGCTAAAGTCTATCTGGTTGCCAGCCAGGTGCCGTTATCGAGCGACCACCGAACCGTGCTCAGTTCATCTGATCGAGGTATTGTGGATAATCTGCGTCCACTTCCACAGGGTTTGGGAAATCAACGATTTGGTCTTGTGCCCGCGTCACTAATCCCCGCTACGTCGTCCATTGCAAATGAACGAACCGCATCGAGTCTACGTGAGTCGATCAATCACGATTCGCTGCTGGATGCGACTAGGGCGCGCCCGGCGGCTGGACCGAATGATGAGGTGGGCGTTCGACTGAGCGTGGCTAGCATGTCTGAAGTTCGTGCTCTGGAATTACTGCGTTTGCACTGCCTGGCTGCGACAACATTCGGCCATATCCTAAGCCGCCCTTTTCACGTTATCCCTACTAGTAAGTTTTGTCCACACTTTGTGTATTACTGTTGTCGACAAGAATACCGGGACACCAACATTTGCATTGGATTTAGACATTTACCTCGTCCCTCTCTGTTTAACACACCAAGCCCCGTGTTCCGTTCTCACCGATGTGAGCCAGTTTCATGGATAAACTACAACGTTAAATATTGTTAACTTGCATTGCAGAGCAAGGCGTTTTCATGGAGTTGGTCGAATCCTCGCATCTTTCCCATGGTTGTCTTATTTCCACGGGCTCTGGTTGCATAACTGATCAGTCAAAAATGTCACCTAATCTATCTCCCATATCTCGTAATCTACTTGTGAACACACGGGAGGCTTTATTGAGGTAGAATACTTTTATGATACTGGGTTGATTGGTTGTCTTCCTCACCAAGGCAACATGGTTGGGGCAGATTCTACTCATTCCTTCTTACTGACTGACCATTTTTTGGTGAAGCTTGTCGGTCATCATAAACCTGACCAAAATGCGGCCGTGATCTTCTAACAGGGATTTCTTGGGGTGATACGAATCAGGGGGATTCCCCTGCTTGCTTCGATTTTTGGTTATCGGTCCTAGTATGACCTTCCAATTTTATTCCCAAAGAAATAGGCTAACTAAAAAAAAACTGGGAGAGACTTAAATGGTTCAAATCCGATGCACCCATGCTCAAAGTTAGTGTCAATTTTGTCAGGTCGTTTTGCGGGCTTTTCAAGGTTTTCCTTGAGTTCGGAGGGAAGGAAAATTTTTGTTTGTTTAACTTGTCCTCATGGGCGCTATTGGGTGTTGTGCCTTTTGCTGTGAATACATAATTGCCCCATGGGCTTCTCTTTTGTCCGTTTACTCTGACAATTTACGAGGCTCTGAAGGAAATGTCCGCATGACTGGTTACTAAGACAGCCCTCCAGGGCCCTCTTTTCTGGGCCTAACTTGGAAACTTATTGATCAGCCTGGTTCCTTGTAAAGCTTTCCCTCCCAAGGGCTCACTCTCTGCCTTGACAGGACATTCGTTTTGATCAGTTTTTATACCCCTTCCCCTATCTCTTCGCCTCGCTTCAGGTCTTGGAGAATTTCCTCAGCAAACATCTTCAACAAGTCCCCACTCAATGTCTCCGAAAATCACTACAGCCAAGTTTTTCGTCAACAACATTGCCGTTGTGGAATGTCAGTTACCGTTAAATGCCTTTCCCACCCCCGTGGTTCACTTTGAACTCAATGGCACGCAAATTAACGAGGCTGGTAAGTGCCGGTACTTTCTTCCTTCTGCAACCCCCAGTAGTCCTCTGGTTTATAAAACCCACAAATCTATCGTTATCACTCTCCGTAGTTCGATTTCGACTGCCTCATCCGTAAGTGTTCTTGGTGTTTTTTATCGCGTTGCTTCGTTTTGTGCAGAATTCTAATCTCGCCGCCCTTAAAATAAGTTTCATATGATTTTGACTCTGACAGGACTTGTTTTGATGACTTGTTACCCCAACTTACTCGCACCGTTCCGTTCATCGTTGAATGCTTGTTTGCCGTTTTGTGATTTTGACCCTTTCGCGATCGTTCGACGCGATTATATCTTTCCCTGTTTGTTTATTTGCTTTTTTTGTCACAGCGCTACAGAATGACAAGTATCGTATCGTTTGGCGACCAGATGGGCAACGTGTCAGTTTGCTGATCCACAAAGTGCAGTTTCACGATGGTGGCACATACCGCTGTGCGATAACAAATCCGTTAACTGGCGAGAAACGCTATGCACCAGAGGCAACGCAACTTCAGCTAATCAGTAAGTGTACGAACGTCTTATTAGACTCCCATTGTAGCCCATTCCGTCACTAATATTTTGAGTTGCGATCATGCGATGCGGAACCTGGATCGTTCACTCCATGAGATCCCTGGTTTCTCGTTCAGTTTTCCGGACTAGAGAAATAGATCTGATTTTAACTGTATGACGTGCTTCGGAATTGAGAAATGCTAATGAAGTCACAATTGATCGTCAATTGAGACGGATTGGCGGCAATAGGGGCATTGACTGTCAGTTAGAGCTTGCTTTCCATTAGTTTGTCAGTAGTGGTGACTGGAATTTTCTCATGTTAACAACACTGACGCCATAGCTTGACTGATAGTATGAATTTGGCTTGGGCTAGCTCAGTGATTAGGGCGCTAACTTACTGACTGGAAGGTCCGTGGTTCGAACACATCTGAAGCACCTAGATTGTCCGCGTTTAGGCTTCCACGGCCTGACAGTACCTGAACGCTCGTACTTCCTCGTACAATGACAAACTGGTCCTAAAGAACACTCGAGTTCTGATTCCTGACTTTTGTATATTGTAGAACAGCCTGAGTTTAAGTTACGCTGCCAGTAACGTGCTGCTATCTAGTTCATTAGTCTGCATCTGGGTCAACAGAATATTGCGTTCGCCACCGTATGTTGTCAGCAAAACAGCACTGTTAAACCAGCTG